ATAATAATAATAATAATAATAATAATAATAATAATAATAATAATAATAATAATAATAATAATAATAATAAACGAAAGATATCCAGTTGATGATAAAGCATTAAACTAACTATACACAGATACACATACCAACAGGTCAGACATACAGTCTATTGTTTAGATAGCCAGTTTAAGCCCAAACAAGTTTACTTTTGAAAATCACAGATAGGACTCACGCCTCCACAGCAAGAAGCTTGACATCTGGTGACAATACCAGCTAGTACCTGCATGTTGCGAAACAAAAGTAAGTATTACTATAATATCTGCATGTTATTTTGGAAAAAATCTTAAAATAAAGACAAAATAGTTCATCAAAAGTATATTACAAAGCAAGATGTGGACAACTTAAGTAGAGTATGAAGATGAAACCATTTCCAGTAAATGACATCATGTGCTCAGAAATGAAATTCAATAGACAAAATGTCCAATTGGATGATTATCGAGCACAAGCTAGAATTTTTTGCAGAAATTGTCAATATATTAAGAACGTAAGAAATGCTCAAGACACATAGTTATATAAAATACATGCTGACTTCTACACATAACATGCAAGAACTCATGGATTCATGGTTCAGCCATAAGCTCTAAACTAATTATCACAGTCTNATTTACAAAACTTCTATATCTGATACATACAGTAAACAAAAGACTGAACAATCTTGATTCCACAACTGAACATAATAATAAAAATTGAAAAATAAAAAATAAATTTATAGTGAAAAATGCTTACACAGGCTGATTCTGCTCCTTGTTCTTGGCTTTCCTCTTTTTCGCGCATGTGGGACCTTGGTCAGAAGTTTGAGGCACGAACTCAACGCAAGGAAGCACAGGAGCCGATGAAGCTGCAGGACAAAATTCAATCAGAGGAGCAAACTGTGACGAATTTGAATCTTCTTGGGCCTTAAGCTTTTTGACCATGTGGATGGGTTGGTCTTCGAGGGCATAATCGGAAGGTACTACAATAGACTCCGGAAGCACGTTCGGAACAGCTAGTTCCAACGAGTTCGAAAGTGGGATTTTCAAGTTTTCTTGACTATGAACTTGGTTTTGCTCTGTAGGCTTTGGTTTTAATCCAGTTGGTATAGTATTGTTATGTGGGGCCACAGGAAAGTCTTTGACATCCTTCAACTTGTCGTAAAATGCGAACTTTGATCTGACTATCTCAGACATTTTGGTGCTGGATTCAGAGCCTGGAACAAATGTGTTTCAATTAGAGGTATATGATGATGGTATCAAAGTTTTGTGATTGAAAAGTAACCTAAAATCGATAAAATAGCCGTGCGGGCTGCGAATTGTGTGGCCTCTTTCTTATTTCTTCCCGGAGGTCCCATGTAAGTAGCACCGTTCAATTCCACAGTTGAGACAAACATGGGAATGATGGTCTGTGTTGCATTTGTTGTGTAAGTAGGTTGCGTCATATTCATCTTCACAGCATACTCATTGAGGATGGACTTGCAAAATTGTGTGTTCTGAGAAAAAATAATGAGAAGGAAGGAACAGGAAAGTGAAAAAAGGTGAAGTAAGAAATTTCAACAGGCCCGGAAATAATTAAAAGAAAAGAAAAGAAACGAAAAGAAAAGAAAGAATGAATAACGATGATTATGATAAGGAAAATCACTTGTATCCAGATTCAAAACCAACCACCATACAGGCCATAATAAGCGGAAGACGGAAAATTAATACATTAAAGAACAAGTTTCGAAGCATTCCAAAAGCTAAAGAACTTGAGGAGAAAAAGTTGTTTATATAAAATGGGTACCCAGCAACTTTTTTTTCTATACATAAAATTTCTAGCATTCATACAGCCACATGAATAGTTTACGTGCATACTAAATCAGACAACAAAAAAAAGAAAGATATAATCAGGCAGCAGCAATAATTGATGTCACCAACATTTAAGAAAATCAGGTGGCAAAATTCGTATTTCATTCTATTGATACTTTACTCCTACCGGATGAATTAAATGAAAATGTACATAACACACACAACAATGCAACAAATAGCAATCCCTACCAAGATTTATAAAAGATTAATCAAAATGACATAAAAAAAAAGCAACCGAACCGTAGATTGCAGCCAGCCAACCAACCTCGGTAATACGTTGAGGACCCTCATTCTTCACTTTTTCAAGGATGCCGATAAATGCATGCTTGGCACCATCTTGTTCGGCTAGTTTTTTATTTGGAAATGAATTTGGGGACATGAAGCAAGTACCATCCACCCACACTCGACAGCTAAATCGAGGCGCATGTGGCACTCCTTCAGAGAAAGTTTGATATACTGGAAGAGGTAAGGAAGCTTTCTGTGTGTACTCTTGCAGTCGGATTTTATCCTCAGAGATACCTATAAATACGGAAAACATTCAAGTACAAGTGCCGCTAAACCATAACTTGAATCAAGAATGCAGGGAGAACAAGCAAATATTGAAAGACCCCAACTACTAAAAGTATAATTTGATGAAAATTCAAGTAAGCGGGTGTGCATTGTCAAGAAAACTTTCGATGAACTTGATACATATAGAGAAGCCTTGCCACCAAAATTGTATATCCTAAAATTTGACAATTAGTATTGTGGTTGTTGATTTTCTTTCTCAAGTTACAGAGCTCACCACCGGACTATGCCCACGACACTGTCCCAAATGCAGGTTTGAACATAAATTTGAGAGTTTGAAAGACTTTACCATCCAAAGCATAAAAAAACAAGCTCCTACTTGAAATGATTATAGTGTGTATAATACAAACCATTGTAAAAGCGAGTTGCATCCAAAAATGGCCATAAAAAAAAAAAAGAAAAAAGAAAAAACAATGCAGAAAAATATACTTCCAATATTAACAAAGTCAAGAAAGAATTCCTTTGAACAGGAATAAAATAAAGTAGACAATGCGTGATGAAACAGAAGAAAGACTGGGAAAAAATGTAAAGTGGCAGTCTAATTAACTCGTATGGGGTGCTTCGGCTAGGAATTGAATAGAAAAGAGAAGAAAATAAGATTAAATTGATCAGAAATAATTTTGTATCTCTGTAAATCGTCGGCGTCCCTCACAACATATTCATAATCAATATCGGGGTTTGGGTTTTTAACTTTTTACCAGTAGAAGGATGCTCAGGCACAGTCATCTTCATAGAACGCTCTTCCGATCAGCTTTCTCTGTGTGTCGTCTTTTCCGATAAGCTTTCACTGTGTTCAGAAGGGTTTGGTCCTTTCGTACAGCAACGAAATTGGGATTTTTTTCCTTTGCCTCGCTAGTACTAAAATGCTATTCCTATGAGTCTCAAAAACTTCTATAAAATTGTCTAAAATAAATGAAAGTATATATCAAACATTTTATTTATAATTTTCGCAGATTACTTGTACGGGTTGTCTTCCCATTTTGATATTGTTTTAACTCTACACAAACAAAACATATTTATTTATTTTTCATCATAAACACATAAAAAATACCCAATCTATATCTACCTATATAAATATAAAAGGTTAATAGTAAGATTTTCTTGTCATAAAAATTATTGCTTACTTAAATCAATTTTTAAATATTCTTTTTTACATTTGTTTATATTTTCTTTTAATAATTTTTTACCATCTATTGTAAGACCTATTATTTTTATTTTAGGTAATTGATATCAATAATTAATGGAAATATATAAATTAAACTTTTTCAATCAATGTATTTTTAGTGATGTGATATCAATAATTTAATATTAAACTTCAAAATTTTACAATCAATTATTTAATTTATTCCTAATCTAGAATTATCAATGAATATGGTTATAGGTTAAGCAATGAAATAATAACTAGAAGTAACTTAAAATATGTATATAAATTAATTTTTTCTTTCTAAAACACCTAGATTAAGAAATTTTTGAACTATGATATATTTTCTGTTTAGTTTTCGTATCCTTGCATTTTTTTTTCTTATTAAGCATTAATTCCATCTCTTTTTTAAAGTACACTTGAAAACAATTTTGTATATTACTAATTTATCATATATAATATTAAATTAAACTTTATTTTATAATCTTCGATTTGACATTCATATTGTATGTATAAATAAAAATACTATTTTTTTAAAGTATTATTAAGTTTATTTGCTATACATTAGTATTAATTTTAAAATAAATTAATTATAATTTATCAAATACTTTAATTAAAAACTATTAATTTTTCTTCTATATCTTGAATTTGCATGCTTTGTTTTTCCTTCAATTTCCCCAACAGTTACGTGTTCTTGAATTTCATCCAAATATCAATTGTGTGAAACCTTATTATTCTTCACACTGTGCACTTCATTTCCATTCATTATTTCCTCTGTTTGCCGGTTTGGCCTAATCGCTCGGAAAAACACGTCCGTTTTACAACGATCATTCATTACATTACAATTCCAACAAATTAACCTTATGTTTGTTACAAGCATTAATAAACACAATACATGCCTTAACCTTTTGTCCTCAAATCTCAATATTTTCACTTTAAGACTACAAAATGTCAAAAAATGTCATACAATAAGACTACAAAATGTCACACAATACATGCCTTAACCTTTTGAGCTTGCATTGCATAAACTATCATACAACAAGACTACAAAATGTCANGAAAAACAAAAATTTCCTTACGGTCGATCGATCGACCTCAAAATCTCTATACACCGGGCAAAATCGCAACGCTAATCTCACCCTCCTTACTATCCGGCGCAACATAATCGTACGACTTCTCGTTCGGCCAGAACATACAATACACAACGAGATAAAAAGCGAGCCCGACCGTCATTTCCAAAACAATCGTCGCGTACCAAATCCCGTGCCCTCCAAAACACCTCATCGCGAAAATCCCGAGCCTCGTGGACCCCACGTACCCGTACAAAGCGAGCCCGAATTTCCCAAACACCCTCTCGTGCACCAACGCCTTCGCCTCTTTTCCTTCCGTTTTCGAGCCCGCGGGCCCCACGCCCGAACGATCGCTGCCCTCCGAAAAAACGGGAAGAACCATCGCGACGCAGCACAAGAAATCGAGCGTGTAATACGAGACGGCCCAATTCTTGTAGCTCCCGCTCGATGGGCCGAAGGCCCGCATCAGGACGAAACAGACGCTCGACGAGATTTGGAGGGAAACCGCGGTCGAGACGACATGTTTGTGGAAGTCTTGAAGGACGGGACGGTAAATCGACCACCCGGAGCCGATAAGCACGACGACGAGCGCGAAGAGCACGCTTCTCGAGAAATAAAAACCGAGCCACAAAAAATTCCAAAAACGGGCCGAGCCCGTTTGTCGGATCGAATAAAGGGAGTTCGCGTAGCAAACGAGCTCCAAGAATCTCGAGAAGAGTAAAAAGGCCATCAAGATGTGGATTCGGTTGAGAAAACGCTTGTACACGACGCAAGCGTGCGACCACGCGAGAACGAAAACGAAGAAAACGAGCGAAAAGACGAAAACGCCCCTCGGGAGATCGGCGAGGTGCTCGTCGGAATAGTCTCGCCGGCCTTCGCCGAGATTGTACGACTCCAAATCGACGGTCATCGAGACCGAAGAATTTTTGGCGCAGTTGACGAAGAAAATGTAGTATAAATCGGGGATGGTGACGGGTACGGTTTTCTTGAGCCCGACGGGCTTCTCGCCGAGCTTGAGGATCGGGAAAACGAACGGGCTTCCCAAAATGCAGGAGCCTTTGAGGAGGGCTAGGATGAGGGCGGGGCGGGCCGGGCTGGGCCCGTAGAAGAAGCCCATGAAGGAGAGTCGAGTGGGCGTGGCGGAGGAATTTGGGTCGTTGATTGAAAAGGATGAGACGGATAGGGAGATGAATCCCGGGCTTTTGAACCCGAAATCTTGGAGGAGGATGAAGGCCCGATCATCGGACGATATTTGAACGGTTCGGATTTCGGATGTGGAGAAAGGGAGGTTAGGGAAGATGAGGATGAAGAGAAGGGAGATGAAGTTTGTGTGAAATTTGTTGCCATGCATTTTTTGAGATGGTTAAAAGGAAAATGAAAAGTTTGCATGAGATTAGGGTGGTGAGGTTAGAGAGAGAGGGCCTAAATAACAGTTTTGCATGTTTTGTGGTTCATTTTAAAGATGGGGGTTAGTTATGTGAACATTTACTGCTACCCATGATAGATGATGTCTTTATATAGCGGAAATGTTTGTATTTTTACATTATTACATTTGGATTAAGGAAAAACAACAAGACAGCTAGCAATATATTGAAAATGCTAGCCACAAAGAGGTTTTTGTAATACATCTGTAATTTTCGAGAATAATTGGATTAACTATTGTACTCGTTTGAATGTTAGCGGATTCAACCTCGTTTAGAGATTTGACTCGTTAAGAAACGCAGCTAGCTAGTTTGGTAAATAACTTATTTGATTGATTTTTGAGCTCACAACTCTAATTATGAAAACGTCTATTAAGATATGATCATTTTGAGTAAAGGGGATTCAAAAATAGAATACAGCCACATAAAATTTCCCAAATAGTTATCAACTCCGTTTTACCAATGCTCATTTACGTATCTTTTTACCGATCACTCATTTACATATCGTTCATACAATATGCAAATCAAACCAGCTATTACAGTTTGTTATCAAATATACGTTATCAATTAAAAACCATCTCAAAATGTCACTGAAAAAAGTGTGTAGTTGGGATCCTCATTTTTTGTATTATTTATTGATCTGAAATCTTTTTCTGCACTCACCGATCTGAAAAAATGCAAGTTGCAAGCTGCAAACAGTATAGATAGTGAAAGAGAAGAGGGTAAAAATCAACCAACAGAAACAACCACACTTTCAAACATTTTATAATCAGATCTCTTTTGGAAAAATAATGATAAGAAGAAGAATAGTAGAATACATCATCTAATTATATTTCCAAAACAAAGGGGGGAAAAGGAAAACTAAAATGCAATGGTTAAAAAAAAATTGCCCATAAACAAAAGCAGAAAAAGATTTCAGATCAACAAATAATACAAAAAATGCAATAAGCTAAACAGAAAAGGACCCTCCGGTAGAGTTTGCTGCTTGCATTACAAAGTCCCTCGGAAGAATATGGCAAATTGAACCGACTACTGAAAGATCCCGAATGCAAACGAAAAACAAAGGAGTTCTACATTCCATACATTTCAATAAATTAAGCTCCTTTCATCACAGCAAAATTATGAGAAGTTTGAATAAAAAGGTGCCAAAAGTATAATTTGCTTTCTAGTCAGATTGACTATTAACAGAGAACAAAAGAATCTCCAGTCTAGCAAGTTACCACCTTGACCCTGACCTGCAAAAAATGAGACGATACCATTAATCTGTCGCGTACAGAAATTTCAAACTAAAAGAAGAACATGGGTGATTATATGCTTACCCAAAGGTCTCCCACGCTAAAATAGCTCAGTTATTACTGCTAATAAACAAGCATTTTGAGTTACTTTTGAATTTTTTTACCATATAGAGTGATTGTTGAATTTTTTACCATTTTGAGGGATTATAAGGCATCAATTTTCATCATTACATTTAAGAAAAAATCATGTTTATCAAAGAATAGTGTGACTGAATATGAGCTGGAATTGTTAATGAAAAATGGATGCCATACAGAAATAGTAACATAATGCTTGGTGATTAAAAATGTGCGAGTGAGCATATTCGAGATGCACCATTAGACAAGTGGTATAACACACCGTTTCAACGCAAGCACATTCGAGATACATTCCCATAGTGAGTGTGCAATTTTTAATTTGCATTATATAAGTTTTGCCAAAAAAGAAAAGGTAAAAAAGGAACAAACTTCAAACTAAAACTGAAAATGAAAAATCTTAACCGAGTGAATAGTATACTGAATGTCCATAAATATTCACACACGATTCCATTCTAAAAGATCACTAGAAACTAAAATTATCTCACTCCATAAAATTCTCCAAGATCCAAAAAATGTAATAACTTGAATCAGTGAATCCACCAAATTCACAAGTCCCGGGATAAAATCTATACACGATAAAAATATTAAAAAGGAAGTACCTGTGAGTCTCTCGGCCACCGGTGAATCCTCTCCCTCCAAATGATCTTCTCTCATCACTCGATCTCGACCATGAATTCCCAGTAGCCCCACGTGACCGTGGCCTCTCATTGTACTCCAAAACTCTGGGGTCCTCATACCCTCCATGCCTCAAATGAGGCCTATCGACAAACCCGAACCTAGGCTCTTCATAAGCTCCCTGTCTCGAAGGAGGTCTCTCTCTCGAATTCTCATAAAAATTGGGTTCTTCAAATTTGCCATGTCCTGATGGAGGCCGGTCAAGAGAGCCAAACCTACGCTGCTCATCTTGTGATCCTGGTCGAGAAGGAGGTCGTTCGTTAAAGCCTGAACCCGTAAAAGGGCCAGAGCTTTTCCTTTCAAATATTTTTTGACTGTAACGGACTTTGTCGTCCAGCTGGCGGACGAGAAGTTCCAAATCACTTTCCTTTTGACGTATCAGATTGAGTGTCGCGGTTTGGTCTTCAACGGGTTTTTTTAGCAGCTCGGTTTTCAAGTGCTCGATTTCTTCCTTGAGATTCTTTTCTTCCTCTGTCTCGGGCCTGAAAGAAGCTCACTTCATTACTAGAACTAATGAAGATAATTACTAACTGACCAAGATTGTATGTGAGTGAGTCATAACAGAGTTGTGTTATGAAAGGATGATAGATTATTCGTTTTATAATTTCCAAACTATTAAATTACTCTTGAAAGAATTGTGAAACGGTGAATAAAAAGTATAAAATTCTAAAAGGAAACATCTGACGCTTAATAAAAAGACTTATGTATCCATAAAAGGACGAATGGTCCAACAAAATCTTAAAAAATGGGAAATAGAAAGAGCTGGCATGTAAAGAATTCCATTATGCATTAATATGGACACACGTCTCGAACCCGGGGCTGAACAATCTACATACCATGAACCATCCTATCCAACAGGCACAAAATAAAGAAAAATAACATGTTTGTCCACACACACATCCACTTTTATACATATAACTTCTTGATTTCATCAATCATAACACTTGACTGGCATTGTCCGTTCAGTAACCTTCGAAAATTTATCAGAAGAAATAGAAAGCCTTATGTGACATTATCGCACAAATAGCTGCAGGTTCATTCACAAAAATGATAAAAAGGTCTCAGATACTTAATGATACAAGCACCACTGTCTCCTTTAGTCTAATATTACCCTATTTTGAACAATGCATGGTAATTCAACCAGAAGCAGAACTTCTCAACAGCCATCATTCTAGATAAAAGACATCACAGTAACCTAAAACACTTCTAAAATATATTTACCAGAACCTCACCAATTCACGACATATAAACTTTGCCAACAAAATGGACATTCAATCACAAATAATCATCATATAAAATGAAGTTCTAGTTATAAAATGCATGCGACATACAATCAAGGATTACCTTTCGACCCGTCTATGTTCCAGCTCAAGATCGAGTTTTTTCCAATCCAAACCCTTTTCCTCGAGCAAGACTTCTCTAGGTTTAGCATTACCAAATGGATTCACTTTTGGTTTTTCTTTGACAACCCCTTCACCCCCCACAGCCACAGGCAAGTCTGACCTGCTCGACTGTTGGCTCCCGGGCCTGCTCGAATGCGAGCTCGTGGGCCTGCTCCCACCACTGACCGAAGACTGCTTCTTACCTTCGATCTCCAAATCCAGCTTTTTCCAATCCAATCCTTTCTCAGCCAAGACCTCCTCCCTAGGCCGGGCCATCCCAAATGGATTAGGCTTCTCGACTTTGGGGCCCACATCAATTTCCATCTTTGGAGTGTCGACAGCCGATCTCTGCTCATTACGCGTCCAACGATCCGACTCAGACCTGGGGAATCCCGACCCGAAGCCCGAAGATCTAGCCTGCTGTGGTTGCGGGAAATGCTTCTTGACAGAGGCCCAGTTGTCTACTTCGTCGGCCCGCGATCCGGCGCCAGGGCCCCCGCCTCCGCCGAGCGAGCTGTAGCTCCCGCCGGGCCTTTCCTGGCGAGAATTGTAATCGGGTAGGGTTTGCTTCTTCATCGAAGCCCAATTGTCAACCTCGTCAGCTCGCGAAGGCTGATTCAAATCCGCAACCCTAGATTCCGGAGGGGGTCCCCTCCGATTGTCGTCCTCAAATCCGTACGACCTCCGGCCATCGTACTCGCGGGGACGACCCGAGTTCGGGCCTCCGTACCCGGGTCGCGGCCCGTAATTACTGAACCCACCGCCCAATCGGCCGTGCTGCATTTCATCGGGGGACCGCTCTTTGGGGCCGGTGGGGAGGCGGAGCATTTCCTCCGGCGTCAGGCCGCGGCTCGAGGCAGGGACGGAGGGGGTGGTCTGCTTCATCGTGAACTCCTGCAGGGTCATCTTGGTATTCTTCTTCTGCTTCGCCGTCGTCACGGACTCCTTCAGGCTGGGAAAGGTCGGCGACGGCGCGGAAGCGGCGGCTTTCTCCGCGGCTTCACGCTCCTCGGCCTCCGCGCGCTCGGCTTCGGCGGCCCAGTTGCCGATTTTCCCCCATGGCGATTTCGACATTTTCTTTTTTCTCTGTTTTCGGGAAAGATCTGTGTAAAGAAACTTGACGATTGAAATGTTTCCGTATTTTCCAAATTTTTTGACTTAAATTAGAAAGGCAGGAAAATACTTTTTATTTATTTTTACTATTATTATATTAGTTTGGTAGATGACAGTTTCCAAACGGCGAAAGTGGGATCCGAATGAACACATCCCCATTATATAATTGCATAATGTACCACGCTTCAAAATTCTACTTCTTGACACAAAAACATTAGTTTAGTTTGAATAAAAAATAATATTATTTTAAATTAATAATTTTAGGTTCCAATATTCAATTCAAATCTGTATTTATATAAAAGGATCTTATTTACTATATTTAGTATTCAAAAAAGTCAACAATATTAAATGTCATTACTATTTCGATATTATAATATTTTATAATCATTATAAAATATTTTGAAGAAGACAATTTATGAATTCACTTACCATAATAATCTCATTCAGATTTATTAGATATTGATTGGGGACATTATAATCAGATTTTTTTATCATTATACATAGATTAATCGTAAAATACTAATTTTATATATATAATCGATCAAATTTTTTATTATTACACATAGATTATATTTTTGATTCATTATATTGCATTTAGATTTATTAGGTAATGATCTAAACATATAATGATTATATATAATTTAGGATTACATTTATATAGATCAATCATTCATATTTTTTATAATCATTATATTTTTAATCCGAAATTTTACGTACTAAAATTTACGAAATAAATTTATAAATGTTATATTTTTCAGAATGAATTCAATACGAAAAAAAATTAGTCCAAATTTACGTGTGGTTTTGAAGTGAAACTTTGAAATTCAAATTCTCTTCTCATTTTAGTTACAAGAAAATCGGGCTGCATTCAACACTTGGACCAATTTAAAAATTATTCCTTAAATGAAGGAATTTATAGATAATTGTTATCTCTACTCAATGACATGATTATTTTCAATATAAAAAGAGATAGATTACAAATTAGTCAATCATATATTACCTAATTCAATATCTTAACATTAAGGAATAAATCTATAATATTATGTAAATTTGTATCTCATATTATTATATCATTAAGAATATATTATAGTTATATTATCAAATCATAAAAAGATATTAAATCCATATTGTGAAAAAAATAATTCATATAATTTTATAACAATTCTACTACACTATTTAACAGTATTCATTTTTATTATATAATAAAATAATAATTAAATATTATATAGTGAACAACAATAAGTAAAACTATTACTTTCTCTTAATTTCAAGGGATAAATTTATATGCTAAAATTAAATTTTTATTAGTATAAATGTTTTAGTGAGATAATATATTAATTATTTTACAAGATAGCCCTAACCTAACATGTTCATATTTAATGTTTTGGCTAAAAAAACAACACTGGTTAAAAGATGTGGAAGAAAACTTATAATAATCCTATTGTTTTTTAGACATAACGTTGATTAATAGAGGTAGAAAATAAATAATAACCTTATTATTTTTTAGACTTAAACAGACAAGGGTGTAAAAATAGCTCATTTAATATTTCTGTCCGTACATCGCACGGGTACTTACTAGTAATATTGAAGAACTAACTTGGAAATGTATAATAGTTTGACTAATATAACCTTAAGTTGTGTTGAAACATTTGGTAATGATAGTGATTGTTTAATATAGCTTTGATTTGTTTTGGAAGCTTTCAGTTAGCTCATTAATATCTATGAAACCTTAAATTAGTCTAATAAATACATATATTTAATTTTAAATAATTGTTGTTGTTATAATTATTTAATTTAAAAAATAATATTTTTAATAATAAAAACTCGTGTAGTACATGGATATTGTACTAGTGAATGTTCTTACTAGTGGTCAAATTTTTTATTGCTGTGTGTATCTATTGATGCAAAGTATAAAAATCCATGTCAGCACGATAATGTCAAATTAATCCTTCAAGAAATGTCCAATTTTTAAGCTTTCACCAACATTGTATGAGCTGGTCTAATAATTAAGAGAATATAAGTATTTTACTATAAAATGCTATTTTATTTTTTAGAGTATGGTGTTTTAATTAATATATATGAGAATTAGTTTTAATGCATCCACTTATTTAAAGTGAGGACGTGAGACTCATTCTTTAACCACAAGATTTGGTACATCATGTGTGGCTAAGATTTACTCTTTTCTTTTTATTATTTTAATTATTTAAATATTATTTTGACCCGTTGACTCCGGCGTTGACTGTTGACAACTAACTTTCCAATTAGGTTAGTTCTTTGTAATTGCTAGGTTAGTTCTATGTAGTTGCTAGGCTAGTTCTCTGTAGTTGCTAGGTTAGTTGTCTGTAATTGCTAGGTTAGTTCTCTGTAGTTGCTAGGTTAGTAGTTGCTGTTGGGATCTGTGAGGATCTCGTTATGTACAAATCACGAATTCAATAGCAAACGTAAACCTACGCGCAGCGGATCTAAAGGTTTGACGTAGAGAACTTACGGCTTAAAATTTATGTAGATCTGGTTGACCACGAACGGTTGACCGCAATTGATTGACCGCAACACGCGTCTTGGGTTGCACGAACAAGATCAGATCAAAATTGGATCAAACGGATGCAAACAGATCAAAACGAAATTTTGCTGCCAGACTCCTTCCGGCGGCGCGTGAGAGCGCGTGCGGCGTCGTATTCCGGCGACGTCGGCGGCGATGGAAAGCACTCGTCGAGACGGTCGTCTGGGTATACTGTACGTCTCAATCGGACTTCCGGTTAGTTCTGTAGGTCAAAATCAATTTCGTCTCAGTTTACCTACAGATCTTCTACTGTATTACTCAATACACCCTTCTTCAACTTGTATCAGTGGAGCAACAAGAAGAAGATAAAGCTCGAATGAGATCTAGAGAGAGAGATGGTTTCACGTGAGAATGAGACTTCTATTCTCTTCTCATGAGCTTAATGATGTATATATAGAGCTACAGTAGGGACCCTAAGGAGATTAGGAAAAGGGCTCCTTAATTAATTAGACTAACTGTGGGCCAAACCCACTCCTCTAATTAATTAAATAATATTAATGGGCCACCAACATTATATTATTGCACTCCCTTTCCCTAGCCCAAATTACATTTGAGACTCCAATAATAATTACTCGATTTACCTCCCCACGTTTAAGATATAATGTCCATTAATTAATTCGATTACTGACAATCAAGAATTAATTAATTTATTATTATTTCACCGAAGCTAGCGCTCGTTCATCACATTCTTATTATGCCGGAATTTAATCCACCTGCAGGGTTTAGCATAACAATCCTTCATGAACTCACTCCGGGGACATCATCAAACTAACGCACATGGTGACCGTAAATATCCTAACAGCACATCCTATATATAATAATATTACCCAAAACAGTAGGAATATTAATCCAGCGAACTGAACCTCACCCATGTGAATCAAAGTAATATATATTATATATATCTGCCTGTTTAATATCTTACGGGTTAAGAGAACGCAGTAATTAACCGAGGCCTAGTTCATTTACGACGATCAGTATAAAATGAACTTCTCCTCTCTGGGATCCTGTTCAATACATAAATGTACTAGTGCAACTAATCAGTCAAGACAAACTGTACAGTTGACACTACAACCGTTCGGATGGGGTGTTCATGTCCATCTAGGTTGTGAACAACTATTCTTGTTCGCAAGTGACTGATAGAGTGATCTTCGGTTCGCCCGATGACGACCCACCCTATCTAAGTGCAGAACAACAGAACGTAGAACTTGTTTAATCTAACATGATTCTCATTCATAAAGGGTAAATGTGTAATAACATGCAAAGCCAAGCTTTCAGTATATAACACTAACAATCTCCCACTTATACTTAAAGCTTTCGCTTTTACAGTATAGTCCTATCAATCCGTTATTCTAAAAGACCTATGTCGATCCTATTGCCATGCTCATGACTCCCATTCCTTCCACGTGTTTGACGAAGACCTTCCCCGGCAAACTCTTCGTGAAAGGATCAGCTAGGTTGTCCTCTGACGCAATCTTGGCAACATCAACGTCTCCTCTACCAACGATATCCCGAATCAGATGGTATTTGCGCTCTATGTGTTTGCTTGCCCTGTGGGCTCGAGGTTCTTTTGAGTTCGCTACTGCTCCACTGTTATCACAGTACACGGTGATACCACGTGGCAAACTCGGTATAACCTCTAAGTCCACTAAGAAGTTCCTGAGCCAAACTGCCTCTTTCGCTGCCTCTGAGGCTGCTATGTACTCGGCTTCCATGGTGGAGTCTGCCACGCATTTCTGCTTAGCACTCCTCCATGAAATGGCTCCACTTCCCAAGGTAAACACATAACCTGAGGTTGACTTACTTTCATCCCTATCTGACTGGAAATCGGAATCACTGTAACCCAGAGGTAACAAGCTGTCTGCACGGTAAACTAACATGTACTCCTTAGTCCTTCTCAGGTACTTGAGTATATGCTTCACCGCAGACCAATGTTCCCGTCCTGGATTACTTTGATATCTAGCTACCATGCCAACGGCGTAGCTAATATCCGGCCTTGTGCATAGCATTGCATACATGAGACTTCCTACTGCCGAAGCATAAGGAACTGTCTTCATCTCCTCTATCTCCTTAGACGTCTTAGGAGACATCTCCTTAGATAAAGGTATTCCATGTCTAAAAGGTAACATACCTTTCTTGGAATCCTGCATGCTAAATCTGGCCAAGACAGTATCTATGTATGAAGACTGGGATAAGCACAACATTCTCTTCTTACGATCTCTAATGAGCCTAATACCAAGAATGTGTCCTGCTTCACCTAAGTCCTTCATATCAAACTGCTTAGACAACCACACCTTTACGTCTGATAACTCCTTCTTACTGTTTCCAATAAGCAGTATGTCATCTACGTAAAGCACAAGAAACACCACCACGCTCCCACTGATTTTCTTGTAAACACAATGCTCATCCGGACATTGAGTGAACCCGTACGACTGGATCACCTCATCAAAACGGATGTTCCAAGATCTCGAAGCTTGCTTCAGTCCATAAATAGACCGATTAAGCTTACACACTAGATGCTCACGACCTTCAGCAATGAATCCCTCTGGTT